TATTCTCATACGAAATGATCTTGTGACTGTATTGAATCAACAGCAATAGAATTACTTCTCTATCCTCTGTTGTCCTTGTAAGTGGCTGGCTTGTGTGTTCAATAGGACATAATTGAACAGTGGAGGTTGAGGCGGCTGGTTTGAATCGGAGCTAACTCAATTTGTATTAATTCTGTACAGCTGATGTTATCAGTTAGATTGCACCTACTCATTTTTTATTTCTACATTTTTCCAAAGCTATCAAAAATAAGATAAATGAAAGCATGGGAATTATGTATTGACCAAAAAATATATAAATAAATGAAAAATATAATACATACAATAGATATTTTTTAATGCAAAACACTTTATGTTTATATAAAGAAGAATTCATATAAATGTAGGTCTTTAAATAAAAAAAATGTTCATGATCATAAGTAACAAATTTAGTAAGGAACTCGAAAATCACATCTTAATTTCCCTCTGTCACTGTTCTCTGATTATTTTACGACAGATATGCATCCGCTTAGCTCTAACTTGCCTCAACACACCTGACTGGAAGTTTCTATGCCTAGTAAGAGCTTGATTAGCTGGTTCAGGTGTGTTTAATTAGGGTTGGAGCTAAACTCTGCAGGACACCGGCCCTCCAGGACCGAGTTTGGACAGCCCTGCTTCAGACAGTCTCGGATCTTTTCTGAGAATGTCAGCAATGCTTCCCCTTATTGTTCTCTTATAGACGGAGAATTGACAGCCATCAGTGACCTTAACTGTGTGTTTGACGTGGGTTTGTTTTTCTGAGGATTGCAAAATGTGGATATTTAAGTGACCCTTCAGAGTTTTATAATTTTTTTATTTTAGTTGTTTATTTTGGACCATTGTATCTAATGACACATACTTATCCTTGTGTCTTTGTTTGGATTAGGGATGCACAAATACCCATGTGGGTAGGGCTCAGGCATTAGTCCAGTTGTAACTCTTGTGCCGTTATCAAGTGCCTATTCTCATACGAAATGATCTTGTGACTGTATTGAATCAACAGCAATAGAATTACTTCTCTATCCTCTGTTGTCCTTGTAAGTGGCTGGCTTGTGTGTTCAATAGGACATAATTGAACAGTGGAGGTTGAGGCGGCTGGGTTGAATCGGGGCTAACTCAATTTGTATTAATTTTGTACAGCTGATGTTATCAGTTAGATTGCACCTACTCATTTTTTATTTCTACATTTTTCCAAAGCTATCAAAAATAAGATAAATGAAAGCATGGGAATTATGTATTGACCAAAAAATATATAAATAAATGAAAAATATAATACATACAATAGATATTTTTTAATGCAAAACACTTTATGTTTATATAAAGAAGAATTCATATAAATGTAGGTCTTTAAATAAAAAAAATGTTCATGATCATAAGTAACAAATTTAGTAAGGAACTCGAAAATCACATCTTAATTTCCCTCTGTCACTGTTCTCTGTTACGCATCAGTACCCATGAATCAGTTAGAGCCATTAATCTCCTGAACGTCTAAATTGCATAAATGAGCTTTTCTTTCTTCCAGACAAACATTTTAGTCTCTCAGCTTCTTTCTCAAGTATGTATTATATAATTCAAGAGCGTTCATAAACTGCCGTTGAGTTTGGCTGATGTGTGCCCAGCTTGCCTATTGCTTGGCAGCATTTGTAGGAGCTGTGTGAACAGTTCTGTCATTACACAAGCACATGTTGGTCAGGCCAGCTCGTGTTTATATAAAGATCAGATATGTGCAGCACCATTCCAGTCTTCTGTCCCCTCCTCTGGACATACATAGCATCACTAGGGAACAGCTGCCTCTTTCACTCACAAATACAAACACAGACATCCATCCATTTTTCAAACCGACTGTCCTATCGTAGGTATGCTGGAGTCTCTCCCAGCATTTCTGGCCATAGGCAGGAAAGCACCCTGACAGGATGGCCAGTTGATTGCAAACCTGTGTTATTTTTTTTAACTAAAACTAAAACTATTATAAATATTTTTTTATTGAAATTAAGCTGAACAGACAAAAAATGAAGTACTAAAATTACTAAAATAACCAAGTAAAAAAACTATTAAAATGACGTAAGCACATACAAAAACCACTAAAAATGTAACAAATTAAAATGAAAATATTAATAAAAACTGTAATAGTGAATAAATAATACAAAAATAACACTGTTATAGACACAGACATTCATATACAAATATTTTTTCCTGTAAAAAAGAAAACAAAATTTTTTCACCCACAGTGTCAAGTGTTTTTATTTTAAGTGTGTTTTATTTTTTTATTTATTTTAAATAAAAGTGACTGTAGTAATACATATAAAAATCATGCAAAAAAATATGCAATATAACGTAAGTTACACACATTTTATTGTCTTGCAGTCTGAGGTGTGGTGCTAAATAAGACAAAAAAGGTCTGTCTTAGACAGCTGGCACAGCAGGATAAAGGAGCACCTGCTAGTGTTATGTGTGCCTGTCTTGTGTAACAGGTTATCCAGCGTGGGTGTCTGAGCCCATTAGAAATTACCAGCTCGCCAGTCTACAGATCACTTAAAGGGGTCATATGATGCGATTTCAAGTTTTCCTTTCTCTTTGGAGTGTTACAAGCTGTTCGTGCATAGATAAGATCCCTAAAGTTGCAAAGTCTCAAACCTAAAGAGATATTCTTTATAAAAGTTAAGTTCCACGCCCTCCTAAAACACCTAGTTTAAACACGCCCCCACATGTCTACGTCACGATGTGGGAAGATTTGCATAACGGCGCCCAAATGTTCACGCAAAGAAAGAAGGCATAACTTTATTGTTGCTGCCACCGCCGCCATGTTGTGAAGACACTGTGTGTTTCGTTGTGAAAGCGAAAATACTTTGATTGGTCTTCCAAAAGAGGACATGACTAGAATTCAGTGGTTAAGTTCTATTTACAACACTGTTCCAGAACACTTCAACCCAAATATTCAGATGTGTGCAGCACATTTTATGGAGGACTGATCCTGGAGAGTAGACTACAATGCCGTCTGTTCTGACTCACAGACTGTAAGTATGTTTTCATATTTAAAGAATTTGCCACTGATGATTCAAACGCGAGTTCTGAGCAGTGTAGAGTAGCACTTGTTGTTTGTCATTTCTCCGATCACAAATGCAGACATGGTTTTATGTTTACGCAGCGCGGCGCGATGCAACGCAACACGTAAAAAGACAGTATAAGTCATTATAATCCGTAATTATGTCCCCACTGGATGCAACAAATGCCTCGTTTATAATAGATTTTATTGGTTTTGTCTCACTGCTCTGGAAGACGGCATCACAGTATAGTAAGGAGCATAACATTTCCGTCACACGCTTGAGGAATTCGGCCAATCACAACGCACTGGATAGCTGGCCAATCAGAGCACACCTCGCTTTTCAGACCAATGAGCTTTGTCCACAGTATGTGGAAATTAATGGGGTTTTTTTTTTACCTTAAACCGCATAAACACATTTCATTACACCAAATACACAAATGCTATTTTAAGCAACATCATATGACCCCTTTAATGTTGGTTACACACTCTTATGACAGACACAGATACCAAACACCTCTGCCGAATGAGGAATGAGAAGCATGCAGAGAGAGGACACCGTTTGCAGGCCTACTAACCTGATGGCAACTTGATCTATGGTGGGACAGGATTTTTTTAGTCTCATAGATAACAGCAGGGTTGATTATAGTGAGGTAGGTTTACACTATAAGCAAAGTTGGAGGTCTTGTAATATCACAGAATGAATTTGAAAAGTTTTTAAGAGGATAGAGAATCATGTGAAGCTTTTGCTTTTTTCTTTTTTCTTATCACAACCATGCAGCAACACACAGCAAGTAATGTAGTCAGTCATGAAATGAGTCCCCCTTCCCATGAAATTCAAACACATTTGGTCACACAAGATACATTTAAGATGCATTTACAACCAGATGTAAATGGTGATGTGTGGTCAACTGTGATTGGATCACATAAAATCCTTGTGCTTGATTGTATTGAATGTGCGCTTGTTCTTCAAATCTACAAAAAGGGTATTTAAAAAAAATGTACTTGCAGATAATATAAGATTAATAAAATAAAAAGCCACTTAAGTGTACTTAAAGAGAGACTTTTTTTTACTGTTTCTTAACACAACAAAGTATACTTTTAAAAATATATATTTTTAATAGTGCTGTCAAATGATTAATCATGATTAATCGCATACAAAATAAAAGCTTTTGTTTGAATAATATGTGTTCTGTGTATATTTATTATGTATATATAAACACACACATACAGTAGCCTATATAGTTTGAAAATATTTATGTCTAGATTTATATTCATATAATTTATATTATATATAAATATATTTAATATATAAACAACATATTTTTCTGAAATATATACATGCGTGTGTATTTATATATACATAATAAATAAACCCAGTACACATACATAATGTAAAAAAAAAAACATGATTATTTTGTATGCGATTAATTGTTTGACAGCACTAATTTTTAATAATTCCAAATAAAAAGCTTTAAGGAAGTACACTTATTTTGATGTGTTGGCTTACTAAAGCACATGTAAAGTACTTGATTATAACTTTAGTGTATTATTTGATATTACAGTTATAATTAATAAATGCTTGTCAGTACATTCAGCAGTACACTTTAATTATATTTCAAAGACAATAGAATTATGAAATTACATCCTACTTAAGTGGGTCAAAAATTAAACTAATTGCATTTAATACATTAATAATTAAACAATAATTAATTTAAACAACAATTTAATTGTAAATAACATGCAATTACTGTAAGTATCCGAAAACACTCTTAAGTATATTATTGTTTTAAAGTATATCATTTCCATAACAATTATTTTAAAGTCTGTTAAAGTGTACTTATTTTTACATATTGTACCTGGTCTAAATGGGCCTAAATGCATTATTACAGTCAAGGCATTTTGACTGATGGCTCCTGACATTGTAAACCTGCTCTAATTTCAGACTCTGACCGAGAGGACAGTCATGGGAATCCAGAAGCCAGAGATTCAGCTGTAGGTTGTCACTTGTCAAACCATTACCTCTTTAAAGCCAATACAAATGGCTGTTTTATTTTATTGATCTCATGTCTGCCTTGTTTGCCTCTTTACACACAGGTAAACAACAAAAGACGCTCTCCTCCCTCGGACAGGCCTCCCTTTGGCGCTCATCTAAGTACACACCACAGCATCTCTGCTGATGAACAGGACAGCCCAGAGCGAATTGTGAGTACTACAAATGTAATCTGTGAGCCCAGCTATGTGGAGATGTGGATCTCAGACCTCTCACGATCTTATTTCCAAATTTGTTTCCAAGGTTCAGAAGGAAAAACTCCATGCAGAACTAAAACAAGTTTTGAGTCAGAAGAGAAGCCAGCTTAGAGACACCCAATCCACCCTCACAGACATGGAGGAACCCCCCAAGACAGACAATAAGAATGAGGTATGAATGAAAACATCCCATAATAAGGACTGCTCTCAAAATGATTAAAAAGCACCTTTGTGAAATATAGTATGAACATCCTTTGAACTTCCTTTAAAAAAAAATGTATGTATACAACTCAAAGCTTAATTAGTGTTATGTAAGATTAATAGCTTTTAGAAAGAATTCAAAATCTGAAATTAAATGACTTGTTTAACCCCCAGCCTTCACCATTGCACATTTGTATTTTATAATTTTATATTTACATTTTACAATTTATATTTAAAAGTTATATACAATATAAAGTATATATGATACTTTATATATTACATTCACCTAGCAATATATATATATATATATATATATATATACACAGTGGGTACGG